GGCTCATCGGTCAAAGTATAATACTCGGGTTCATGGTATATATTTGATTAGAAAGGTATGCGCTTAGAAAATAAACTATTTATTATCAATTGCAAAAAAAGTAGCCTCCTACTAGTTTTTAGTGAAATGTAATTATTTTTAGTAACGTTCAATAAAAATTAAGTAGTACAATAATTGTATTAATTCGTGAATGTTCTGTATTATTGCTTAGAATTAGAGTGTAAAGCAAATAATTTACTGAATATGTAAAGCAGAGTGTAAAGCGAAGAATACTGTTGATGATTAGGTATTCAGACAAATCGCGAACTCAGATGGAAGTGTGTAATTTATTTAATGACAAATATCCAAAAAGTCCCATTGAAAAGAAATTTCGAGAAGCTGGTACGGTTGAAAATGCACGCAAATCAGGTCGTCCCTTCCTAAAGTATGATACATTAGTAGACCAGGGTCGAGAATTTTTCCAGCCAAAAAAGTAGAATGAAACCTATTGGAAAAGGAAGAGAATATGCTAAAAATGAAAGAAAAAATAAATTCCACTCCATCCGAGGTCGGGAAGTGGGAGGGGGTGAGTTTTTAAGGGTAAAAATCGGTTTATCGCGATTTTCGGCGAAACTACAAGTGCCATGGAAAAAAGTTAAATGGCAAAGTTGTAGGTAACAAAAAGATCTACAACTTGTATTTACACTTATTTCACATAACCTCAAATTTTTTGTGGAAAATTTAAACAACTAAGTTTTTGGTTTTTTATTTTTATCTTTTAAAAAAATTTTTTTTACGAAATTTGGTGAAAACTTGCCTTAGTTTGTACCAAACACACTATAATTTTTGGAATTGAAACATTTATTTTTTTACCTGATATTGATTTAATATCGAAAAAGCACCGTAATTTCAATCGAAAATTCACGCGTCAAAATATCAGCTTTTTTAAAAAAAATCGGTGGGCTTTTTGTTCGCTTCCATAGTTTCACCGAAAATCGCGATAAACCGAATTTTACCCTTAAAAACTCACCCCCTCCCACTTCCCGACCTCGGATGGAGTGGAATTTATTTTTTCTTCCATTTTTAGCATATTCTCTTCCTGTTTCAATAGGTTTCATTCTACTATAATTTTTTTTTGACTTTTTACCTTTTTTAAAGGCTTCGACACTGGTCTGTAGATTCATTACTATTAAACTGGGAATAAGCCACAATTAAAGATAAAAATACGTTTATTGACGTTTCAATTTCCACTTCGGAAATCGTTCTCAAAATTTGAGAACATTTTGAGAACGATTTCCGAAGTGGAAATTGAAACGTCAATAAACGTATTTTTATCTTTAATTGTGGCTTATTCCCAGTTTAATTGTAATTAATTTACAATGCCACAAGAAAATAGCTTCAGAACAATATGGTCTGTATATGTTCTACTTGCTTTGAAGAAGATACACACACTTCTGTTCGTAAGATTAGTCGTGATCTCGATATTTGCAAAACAACGGTACACAAAGTAATAAAACTTGAAAAATGATACCCCTTTAGATGCACACTTGTACAGGAATTAAACGAAGCTGATCCAGATAAAAAAAACAATTTTGCGAAACAATGGTGGATAACTGCCACAGAAACCGTCTCTTGGTTCAAAATATTATTTTTTCTGATCAGGCTACATTCACATTAAATGGCGAGGTCAACCGTCAAAATTGTAGATACTGGGCCAAAGAAAACCTTAATTGGATGCGGGAACATCATACACAATACCCGCAAAAGATAAAAGTATGGGCTTGGATTGTAAGAAATAGAATCATCGAACCCTACTTTTGCGAAGGTAATTTAAACGGGCCATTATACCTTCAGTTTTTAAGGGGATATCTCGTACCACTTTAGTTAATTTATTCCCCAATAGAATTAATCCTGGAGGTTTTGATGAAAGTTTGTGATTTCAACAGGATGGTGCGCTTTCGCATTATACTGTAGATGTTCGAAGGTACCTAAACGAAATTTTTCCGAACAGGTGGATTGGAAGACGTGGATATATTAAATGGCCAGCGGGGTCACCAGACCTCAATCCTTTAGATAATTTTATGTTAGGTCATTTGAAGAATGTTGTTTATAAAACTAAACCTACATATTGAAGACCTAAAAACAATAATTCGTAAAGAAATAAGCAATATTTCTCAAGAAACCATAAACAAGGTTCTACAAGAATTTGTACAACGTTTGGGTTACCGTCAAATACAACAACGGCTACAATTCGAACATTTAAGATGAAGTCATGTATTAATTACTGGATTACTTTAGTTAGTTATTTATTTATAATTTTATAATATTAGAAATCAATAAAAATTAATTTTCTAAGCGCATATCTTTCAAATTATATCCGTTATTAGATCCCAAGTATTATACTTTTTTGGAATAAGCTCATTTTTATCGATCTAAAAATGTCCTAAAATACAGGGTGTTACATTTAAAAAAAATGCCGATTATGTCATCACCTTATGTGTATCACCTTGTATGGTGATACACATAAGGTGACGTATCAATAAAATTTTATTGTAAAATGTAGAACATTAAACTTAAAAATTATCCTTTTCAGATTTTTTTAAAAAGGCTTTTCATTTAGGAAATATCTTAATTTATTCCATACTTTACGGACACACTATACAAATAAGGTGTTAAACCTCTGAAAAACTAAACGTAATTGCTTTATTTTGCTAATTATATGGACGTTGGTGGATATCATTGTGAACATTTAATTAAATAATTATTGCTGATGTGTAAACTGTTTTAAATGATCAATTTATCCATTTAAAAGGCTATAGCGGGATAAGATGGTCAAAAGAGCCCCCGTACCGATAGCACCGCGACTTATGTTTTCAATAAAGCATATAAAAACATGGCTTTATACAAATTTTAACTTCCCAGAGCCCATAGAACCCTTTAAATCTAAAAAAGAAGCTTTTTCGACTTTATTTTTTTTCTGGACGCAATTTTGCTTTAAAAAATCTGAAGAAAATTCATCTTTCGAATACAAAATGGCCTGATTTTTTTCAAATTTTTATATTGAAAATTAAGCTCAGGAAAAATCATTGAAATTTTCAATAATTTGTTAGGTTATGTTAATAATTTTTGGTTAATTTTTAAATAGTAAGTTTTATGTATTTTTTTTTTCGATCTTTTAATGACCAAGGCAGAATTTTCAATTTCTGAGCGGAAAGCATCGAAAAATCAAAAAAAAACTGTTTTTTACTCATTTATTTGCACATAACCTCAAAACTCAATTCCTAATTCAACATTTTTTCTTCCACATAATCAAAATCTATTGTAAAAGTCCCCATTTATTTCTTTTATAAAAATAAAATTCGAAAATACCACGTTTTTTATTCTTTTCGCACTTTGTTTACCTTACCTCAAAATTAGATAGTTAAATGTATGCTTTTCCATCTATTTTCTTACGGGATTTTTTAAAGCAAAATTGCGTCCAGTAAAAGATAAAGTAGAAAAAAGCTTCTTTTCTAGATTTAAGGAATTCTATGCGCTCTGGGAAGCTAAAAATTTGTGTGAAGTCATGTTTTTATATGCTTTATTGAAATCACAAGTCTCGGTGCTGATCGGCGCGGGGGCACTTTTGACTATCTTATCATCTTATCTTTAGTTCATTTTATTTTCCATTAAATTTAATAAAGTTTCCTATTAATATTGTATATTTCGTTTTAATGTAGTTTTTAAGGTGACGAAAAAATTTGAAAATTACTTTAGTAAACAGTCGTTACTTTTAGATTTTAAGAGGTGTAACACTTTCAATAAACTAATACCTTTTCACATGAACCAAGTTAATATGGAAAAAACGTTGGTGGCTGAATTCTCGAGCGAAATACCTGTCTAATGATTTGCCCTATTTAAAATTAAAGGTATGTGGCATTGGAAGGCAGGGGTTGATAAATGACAGATCTCTTTGAAATAAAAATCGACTTGTTAATAAATATCCTTTATCGACCTTTAATATAAAAGCACCACCTGTTAATAAATATCCAATGATTATTTCCAAATATTCTTTAGGTTGGACTCTTTTAAGGGTACAAACCCTGTAAAATAACTCTTACCGTGCTATCAACGACCAACCGACCGACCGACCGACCTATGGTGATAGCCAGAAACTATTTTTTACTAATTTTATATATTTTCATATATTTATGTTTAAATTGATAAAATGTAGCTTAAGAGCAATATTTACACGTTTAGAGAAACACCCTTTGTATTCTTTGGAATAAATCACAATGGTAAAATTCTAAATGTTTTCTTTGAAATTTCGGCATAGATCGGAAAACGTTTCCATTTTGATATTTTAATCCCAGTTAGACGTAACGTCTTCTTTAAGTTATTGTTTTGTTTGATGCACAATTGTTCCTTGTATTTCACGTCGTTAATTCTTTTTATTTATTTTTTTACAGATAATTTCGTTCTAATGTATCAACTTATATGGTTAGGTTAGGTTCAATATGGTTGGTATTTAACCACTGTTCCAATCGACCTAAGGGGTCTATTGTGGCTCATCTCTAGGTTAGAGTTGTCTTTCAGTCCAGCCTCTTTAAAGTCTATTATGGTCTTTAGTGATACTGCTACGAATCATAGAACTCAACTTGATATGGTCAAATATATTGAGCTTTATCCTATCCACCCCTGGTTGGACAAAACGTGTTCCCTCGTGTCGTCTTCAGTCTGACGCAATCTAAAATTAGCACTTTTTGTCAGTCCGGTTTCTATTGAACTGGAAATAATTATATTTTCTATTACGTGGATAGTATTTTTTAAAAAAAGTTAGGTACCACGATGAAAAGTTTTATTAGTGCGTTAATTTTGTGTATATAGTTTATATTAATTATTATTAATAAAATATGGTGTGGAACATTGTATCTATAAAAAAATAATTTAGGAATATTTTTAAAGATATAAATATTTTTGGAGAATTACCACAAGCACTTTTAATTCACTAATATGGTATCATTTTTTTCTTAATTCCTCAGCTGCATGTTCATCCCCAGCCGCAAGAAAAACAAGAAGAGAAAGAAGCTGACTTTTTCTCGGAACAGGACAATTTCAGTACTCAGGATACTTCTGTTCGATCACAATCGAATTTTGTATGTGGTTTGGTTTGTTTTTAACATTTTAACTAAATTTTAACACTTATGGGATTACTGAATAAAAACTGTTAAGAATTGCCTTTAGAATATCCCGTTGGATATATATTATTAATAAAAAAGGTATATTATTGTACAATCAGTTTATATTTCATTAACTAATACATCTTTAATGCCCTGGACTTTATAACGAACATAGTTGATGGCCCTTTGTTTTTCTGTCGACCTTACTATATCTGAAATTTTATCTTCTAATTATTTATTAACATCATTTTTTTGTGTTATTTTCCCTGAGCGGGATTCGCTTTATTGGTATATATTTCCATCTTTTATATTTGTCAATTTATTTTTGTCTTTATATTGAAAGTATTGTTGTTGTTTGTTTGTGTTTAAATGACTGCGGACACTAAATCCATTCGCCAATCTTACAATATTGAAAGTAATCATCCCTTATAATACAATACTTATAATAAAAAAAAAAAAAGATAACACCATGTCTGGGACCTCCATCCTAGAGAGGGTGTTACCGTTTTTTAAAACACCCTGTTTATCTCCTGTTATTTTGGCATTGAAAACGAGACATCTGTGAACTACTATGTCTGTTTTTAATTTTATCCTTTTTTATTATTCCATTCATCTGTTTCATTTTACCTGCAAGCAATACCATCTACATATACATTACTCTGTAGTTCCTATCTCGAGTCAACTTGATATCCAAATCCATTATATTTGGATGAGTAAAATTGTTTTCTAACGAACATTATAACTAGTATATTATATTACTATACAGTATGTTAAGTTTAAAACTTACAATGGACTATATCACACGAACAAATGCTGGTATCGAAAAATGCTTGAAACCGTTTCTAGGATACTGAAGAGGAACTAAAGTGACATGAAAGAGAACTAAACCCCTAGGACCCACTCACCACATTCAAAAAAGTTTAAATTGCAAACCCCTACTTGTGATACATCATTGAAAGGACTATAAAAGTGCTATCCAATGGTATAAATAATAATTATACAGGGTGAAGCAATAATTGTGAAACTTTGGCTTAAATGGAAGATTTAATGAGGTTTTTGTTGATTCTGTTGATGGCCCTGTATAATTATTGTTTAATAATTATACAGGGTGTTAATATCAGCCAGCTTACTATGACTTTTGTATTTGTAATGCTCTCTTATGGACTATTATTTTTAATGATAAGTACCCGTCGGATTTTTTTTTGTCAAATAAAAACTTAATTCGCGGTTTTTGCAAAACAAGTTGAAAACATCTGTTTTTTTGGGTTTTGTTAGATTCAATAATTTTTGGTTTATATGAGAATTTTAAATATCATTAGTTTTCATCTTTGTACGATCGGTACTGTCATTCAGCTGTAGTTGTCACGATGGTTTACAGTATACCTGAACACGTGGAGATCATTTTCATATTTGCCTCCCAGAACCAGTGTTATTTACGAACAGCTCAAATATTTCATGAAAGGCATTCGGACAAAAATGTAAGTCACGTGTACGTCCGCGATCTAGTTGAAAAGTTTAGAGAAACGGAATCAGTCAAAAATAAAAAGGATGGCCTAAGATTATTGAATGAAGCATCCCAAATTGAGGTCCTGGAAATTTTGTAATAGAGCCTACTGCATCAACGCGTCAAGTATCTACAATGACGGGACTTTCACATCAGTCTGTTAGAAAGGTGTTGAAATTACTTAAATTTCACCTGTACACAACACAAATTCTTCAAGAACTAGGCGATGGTGATCCAGACTGACGAATTGAGTTTTGTGAACTCATGACTGAAAGAGTTCGCTTTGAACCGAGAATGGTAAAACATATAAAAACAAAATTGTCGGTACTGGAGTGATGCGAACCCGCATCGATTTAGAGGAGGTCACACTCAATATCCTGAAAAACTTAATGTTTTTGCAGGAATATTAGGCGATGTTATAATTAGCAGTTTGTTCATACCAGGCAATTTAAGTGGCGATATTGATCTCGATATGCTGGAAAACACCATCGAACCTTTAATTGTGTATGAATTAGAGAACCAAAGGGACGATCAAGGCAACCCAGCTCTAGACGAAGATTTGCTGCACTTCAAGCAAGATGGAGCGCCTCAACTTGCGTTACTTGGGGAATTGCGAGAAAGAGTTACGCCAAAGTTTGTGCAGAATTTAAAAATAGGCTGTATTATTGTTTATAAAACAACGGAATTCACTTTGAACATTTACTTAATTGTCATTTTTAACAAATTTGTAGTTCAACAAAAACCTCATTAAATTTGCCATTTACCAAAGTTTTACAATTATTGCTTCACCCTGTATAATTATTATTTATACCATTGGATAGCATTTTTTATAGTCTTTTCAATGATGTATCACAAGTAGGGGTTTGCAATTTAAACTTTTTTGGTTGTGGTGGATGGGCCTAGGGAGTTGATGGGGTGAGTTCTATTTCATGTCATTTTAGTTCCCCCTTACTATCCTAGAAACGATTTAAAGCATTATTAGATATCAGCTTTTGTTCGTGAGATATAGAACATTGTAAGTTTTAAAATTGACACACTGTATCCTTTAAATCACGTTACTTTGCCCATTAGTATCTTTTCTGGTAACCCTTTTTATCCACAGCCTTGATATAATTGATCATCTAGATCCATTATACCAACAGTTTCTTCAGGAAGGTCCATTTTAATTTAATCAAAATAAGTATGCAATAAATCTGTAGGCTGATTCATTCCTGTTGCTCATTACATTATCATCGTCATAAGTGGCTCGACAATCCGTTGTGGATCTTGGTCTGCTCACAAAGAAGTCGCCACTGCTGTCGATTCTTGGCAACTTCCCTCCATTTTCTGACCCTTACAATCTGTAGATCTTCTTCCACATCATCAACCTATGACCTTCGTCATAGTCATCTTCTACTTCTTGTGCTCTCTGGTTTTGAAAATGTTAACCTCGTCATGTATTCGTGATCTGACATCCTAGCAATGTGTACAGCCCATCTAAGTTGCTCATTAGATTATTCTCGTTTTTATTTTAACCTATTTTTTAGAACTCCTTTTCAATTCACGAAAACACATTCTGGGACTCCCCGATATGTTTTCTCAACATCAGTAAAAATGGTACACATTTGTTTCTTCACTTTTAATTGTCTATAGTGGTTCTTGTTATAACTATTGTTATGCTGGCATACGATAAAATCATATTCATCGTTGACGTCACTTTTTTACATTGAATATATTTTTTTAACATTAATTTGAACTTATTAATTATATTAATATTTACGGGCTTCTTTAACTAAAGGCTACTACTTTATTCTTGGGCTTGATTATTTTTACGCTTTATATAGCATACAGAGAAATAATAAAAGTTATTTTCAGAACGAATTAAGTGCACCAGTTAGAAATACCGAGCCTATTAAACCAGCCGAACAACTGAATATCGGCGAAGGACCTAAAGTTGATTTCTCAGTAGCTAATACACATGTAGAACCAAAAAAATCTACTATCGGAGCTAGAAAACCAGCTGCAAAAAAATCTACGGTAAGTTGCTACACCTTTTTGAAGTAAAATACTCAGTTTAACCAGAGAACTACGAACACAGAGAATCGACACAATCGTACTTAAACGTGAACCATTTTTGTAGACGCATGCGCGAGCTAAGTTGTGTAACTGTCGCCAACACTTGCTTATTCGTTAGCTTTGGTTGTTTTACGTTAGTCCGTAGGAGTGTGGTAAATAATCTATTTCACACATTTTTTTATGTAAATAATTTTTGTTCTTGTTCAGGGCTCTGGATTAAATTTTAATTTAAATAGGTAATGATAAAAATGATACCGTGCTTTTAGATTTCTATTTTTAGGATCGCAAGACGAAAATAAAAACGCACAGCACACTAATTGTTACAGTCAATATCTGTGTGTCACCATAATTCAGTTTGATTCGAATTCGAACACTGTGTCATTTAGTCGTTTGATCAATTAATTTTTGAAAAATGAAACATTCCAAATCTGGAATATCAAAAAGAAAACGTATTGTTTTGTCAATTATCTAAAGAAAGGTATTTCCGTTGTCGCATTGAGCTGTAAATAAATACCCTTTTTAACTGCCACCCGCAATAAACTTCTTCGGAAATTTACAATGTATGATTCACAATCAGATTTTTTGTTTTAACGTATATTATTGACAATAAAAGTAAACAATTCTTTTTTGTTTTAATGTATTTCATTGACAATAAAAGTAAACAATTTTTTTTCAAAAACACCATTAAAATTAAACATCTTATATTGCTCCGAATGGCTTCACTTCTTCTTCTTCTTTGAGTGCCTCTCCTATCAGAGATTGTATATCATTATGGCGATTCTAATTTTATTAACTGCTGTTTTGAATAATTCGTTAGTGGTACAGCCAAACCACACTTAAATTTCTCATCCAGGACATTCCTCTACGGCCTGGATTTCTGCGTCCTTGGATTTTTCCTTGCATTATATTTTGTAGGAACGTGTACTTTTGTCCTCTCATCAGGTGGCCTAAGTATTCAAGTTTTCTCTTTTTTATATTCATAATAACTTCTGGATCTTTATTTATTCTGCGTATTACCTCTTCATTTGTCATTTTATCCACCCGATCTATTTTTAGTATACAGCGGTAGCACCACATCTCAAAGCTTTCAAGATTTTTAATATTCCTCTGTTTAAGAGTCCATGCCTCAACACCGTAAAGCAAAGTAAGGGCTTCACTAGAAGAAGTTAATGTAATAATAGAGTTTTTCGAGGAAGCGCTTGTATTGTTAAAAGATATCAGAGTATTTAGAAAAGACGGTAGCAAATAGATTAAAATTTATTAATTGTTAGAGAATAACTATTAACAGTTTGTTAAAATTATGGGAAAATCTTTCAAAACAAAACTTCAAATATTTGAAAACTCGACGCCTCAATACCGACTGCATTTAAATTTTTTTTTACAGTGTTAGACAGAAGAGTGAAAATAATGTAAACCTGACTGCCAAGAGCATTTCGCAAGCCGTTCTTCCAAAATTATTTCCATTCAGAAATAATGAATTGTAAGGATGCTTTAAGTGAATTGTTGCTAAATATTAAATCTACAGACATAACTAAATTCATGTATCAAGAAGATAAAGATAAACGTCAAAAAGCACTAGTGCTTCCTGACAATGATTATACAAAAAAAATTTGCCTTTTCTGAACGTATTCAGTTATGTTTGTGGATATTTATTGAAGAAATGCCTTTAAATTTACAACTGCAGTAGTTGTAGATACTAACAACTTATTTATTCATTTCAAGGCGTTTCATGAGACAGAAAATATTTTTGGAAAAATATCTGTACTCGCCACCAAAGAATTTTATTAAATTTGTTTATATGCTAGAATGTCAGTTTAATTCTAAATTTGAAGCTATTAAATACATTAACAATGAACTCAAGAGTAAAAATAATAAAGAAAAAATAGAAAGAAAGAGAAAAATATTAGAACATTTATAATTAATATTTTTAAGTGCATATTCATCATAAAATGACTTTTATTTATTATTATTGTAGTACTTTATTTTATATTTATTGAAAGTAAGTGTTTATACTAATGTCCAAACATACATGCTTAATTTTATTTAAGAATTTATATTGTGTGATATGCCCACTGACTATTAGTGCTTTGTCTCTTAGTGTTTATATATTATATTTAGTTTACCATTTTCTCAGTTCTCGTGGTTGTAATAATGCCATTCGCGGCTTGGCCATGAAATTTCAAAGGACTGTCGCTTCTCTCTATTCGTAGTTCTCTGGTTTAACTATTTACGTATTATATTTTAAATAGGGTTAATTTTACGTTGATCACTTAGTTATGTTATTTTATTTTCCGATTCATTATATTTCAAATTAAAAAAGAACAACAAACAAAACTTCAAAAATAGAATTCTTCTTCTTCTTCATGTACCATGTCCTTTCAGAACGTTGGTTACCATCATAGCTATTTTAATTTTATTCACTGCCACCCTAAATAGCATGCTTGTATCTACACCATACCAATCTCGCAAGTTCTTCAACCATGAGGTTCTTCTTCGTCCTGGACTGCGTTTGCCTGCTATTTTTCCTTGCATGATATTTTGTAGCAATCTATATTTGGGACCTCTCATTACATGCCCGAAATATTCCAGCTTTCTCTGCTTGGTGCTTTTTATGATCTCAGTGGTCTTGCTGAGACGTTCAAGTATTGTGGAGTTACTAATCTTCTCCACCCAGGAAACTTTTAAAATTCTTCTATAGCACCACATTTCGAAAGCCTCAAGGCGATTTATATCGATTTTATTCACAGTCCAGGACTCGACAGCATAAAGTAAGACCGAGAACACGTAGCAGCGAAGTAGGCGGATCCTTAATGCCAATTTTAGGTCTCTGTTACATAACACCTTGGACATCCTTCTAAAAGCAGCTCTAGCCTGCTCTATTCTGGATCTAATTTCGCCGTGATTTTCTGCATTACAATTTAATTGCTGTCCAAGGTAGACGATTTTATCAACTTGCTCAAGTTTGGTATCATTTACATATATAGACGGTTTTATATTCTGTTGTTTACTTATTACAAGTATTTTGGTTTTCCTTATGTTAAGATCCAGACCTGCCTCCCTACAACTCTCAACGACACTATCAAGTAGTGTTTGCAGATCTTCTTGACTAGAAGCTAGGAGTACTGTATCGTCCGCATATCGCAAATTATTGATGACTTCGCCGTTCACAAGTATTCCTTCTTGTTTTTCAGAAAGTGCTTTTCTGAAAATTCTTTCGGAGTAAACGTTAAAAAGCAGGGGTGACAAGAGGCATCCCTGCCGTACTCCTCTTTTAATATTGAGAGCTTGTGATTCCACACCATCTACTAAAACTGATGTTGTTTGATTCCAATATAAATTTGCAATTGTTCGAACATCTCTGCCGTCCATTCCAATGTCTTTTAGAGCTTCGATCAATATAGAGTGCTTAACACGATCAAATGCCTTTTGAAAGTCAATAAAACAACAGTATATGTCTACAGATATATCACGACATCTTTGAGCAAGTACGTTCATTCCAAACAGTGCCTCTCTCGTTCCAAATCCGTTACGGAATCCAAACTGAGTGTCATCCAGGTATTCCTCACATTTATTGTAGATACGACCATGTATTACTTTCAGAAAAATTTTCAATAAGTGGTTTAACAAACTGATGGTTCTATAATCAGCACAGGTTTTTGCTGTTGTCTTCTTAGGTAGAGCTATAAACAGTGAGTTAGACCAACCATTAGGTAGTTGTCCGCTGGTATAAATGGTATTGAAAAATGAAGATATAGTCTCTAAAACATTGCTATCCTTTATAAGCTTATATATTTCAGTTGGAATTTCATCAGGACCAGTCGCTCTGCCATCTTTTGATGATTGTATGGCCTTTATAACCTCACAGCGTGTTATTAGGGGTCCGTCGCAGTTAGTAATATCGGGAGGTGAACTACCCCTATCGTCTTCGAATAGGTTCGTGACGTAATTTTCCCATTCTTTAAGTTTGTCCTCTACTTCGAATATTACTTTACCATTTTCATCCTGTAGCAATGCATTTTGTTTCTTATTGAAGATACCAGCCGCTTCCTTTACTTTTTTATACATGTTAAACGTGTCGTATCTTTTTTCGAGTTCTTCAATGTCATGACACTGTTTGGCTAGATGTTGACTCTTTGCTTCTCGTATTTTGCGTCGAATTTCTTTTTGTATGCTATTGTAAAGTGTTTAGTTGGTTTTTGCTAGTCGCCGTTGTTCCATCAAATCCAGTATATCATCTGTCATCCAACCTGCTTTTTGGCTTTGACCTGCCTTGTAAATTTCTCACACAGATTTCTTTTACTGTCGTTACGATTTTATTTAAGCCCTCATCGACGTTTTCACCAATATTTTCCCAAATTAAATTTTCGTTCAGTTGTCTTTGAACTGATTCCTTAACTTTCTCGTCTTGTAGTTGGGCTGTATCAATCTTTTTGCGAGACTTCTTTTTGATCACCTTTTTTAATTTTAATTGGGTTACAGCTACTATGGGATTGTGATCGGACCCAATGTCAGCACCTGGATAAGTTTTAACTGATTTGATGCAGTTTCTAAATCGATTTTTTATTAGAATGAAGTCGATTTGATTCCTAATAATTTTGTCCTCTGATTCTGCATTTGACTTCCAGGTGTAGAGTCTTCTCGGTGGTAGTTTAAAATGGGTATTCGATATAATGAAATCTTTGTAGAATGCTTCTAATTTATCTTCATCACTAGATGATGTTGGGGCATAGACCTGAATTACGTTGGTAATGAACGGCTTTGAACTAAATTTTACTAGCATTACTCTGTCAGATATGGGGATATAAGTTAAAACTGATTGAGCTAAGTGCTACTACGATTGCAACTCCATTATAGTGATTGGCATCTGTATTTCCGGCATGGTACACTTGATATCCATCTACGTCACATACTCCTGATCCCGGCCATCGCATTTCGCTTATTCCGAGGATGCTGATTTGCATTCTTTTCATTCAAAATAGAATTCCCCTTTACTAATAAGAGTTCTGATCGACACTTTAGAGTTATTCGTCGATCAGGTGAGCGTTATGCACAATACAACAAAAGAGAGAAGAGATTGTTTAATGGAGGTTCTATGATATTTTGGAGTGGAATTTTCTTGACAGCATAAACGGATTTTGTGTCTTTATGCGGAGGCTCTTTAAAGACCGAAAAGTACATTACAGAAATGTTGTTTCTTTGAACAAGTTGTTCCTTTTGCACGTTATATAGGAAATCATTTTATCTTAACTCATGATAACGCAAGGCCTCACGTATCGCATTCCGGTATTGAATAGTTAAGTGAGGTACATCTTCAGACATTGAACTGACCCCCTGATATTCCCGACATTAATCCTATTAAACACTTATGGGATATTGTCGGTAGACAATTAAGACTTCGTCAGCCCCTTCCTGCTTCAGCTGCAAGATATAGAAACCATGGTTATTGATATCAGAAACTCCTAGACCAAAATCAAACAGTACGCTTAATGTCCATCATGCCTAAACAATGTGAAGCTATTATAGAAGCAGTGGGGGAAACACGAGATATTAGTTGACGTTGTTTCTTTCTGTTTTTAAAGCTTTATTAACTGTTGTTATTTTTGATTGTTAATTAAGTGTTGTTTTAGATAAAATACATGTTAAAGAATAAATTCGTCTACTTTCTATATTTTTAAAGATATCAGGCAAATTAAAAAAACAAAATGTTCACAAAACATGAGACTATTACACAGTTTTAATGTAAAAGGGTGTCTCAATTTTAAAATAAGAAAAACATTTTTTTTTCACCCACGCCCAAAAGAGTAGTTTGAGTAACACTTTGCCCAACAGTGTAGATACTAAGGACAAAGTCTTAAATAATAAAAAAGCAAAATCCGTTAATCCGTTCACGACAAAATCAACTATCAAAATGAGAATAACTTTTGGTGGTGCAAAACTTTTGCGGTAGTTTATATTCATACTTACATTTTAGCCACATTCACAGCTAGTTCAAGCTCCAATATAACATTAGACAATGTCACTTAAGATTTTATTGCAATTCCCCCAAAAGATTTGGACACACTCTGTACCTTTTTGTATTGTTTAGTTAGATTTACTTGTGCCCTTTAACCAATTACTTTAACTTGTACCCTTTAACCAATGTCACTTGTTTCTCCAATCAAAATAAATAATTTTGCATATCTAAATTTTAATTTTCACTGAAATTTAATTGTTAATCTACAACTTTCACAACTGAATTAATATTTCTAACACTGATATATATATATATATATATATATATATATATATATATATATATATATATATATATATATATATATATCATCATCATCATCATCATCATCATCATGTGCAGCTTTATCGACCGTTTCCAATTACGGTGCAGCCTCCCTTATTTCAATGTTATTCTATGTTATATATATATATATATATATATATATATATATATATATATATATATATATATTTATGTATGTATATATATATATACTTATATATATATATATATATATATATATATATATATATATATATATATATATATATATATATATATATACACTTCGCTAGTGTCGGCGTATATTTCGTTACGTATATTCCAATTATAGTTTACCGACCTTAGTTCTTCCTATTTTTATATTACGGTGGTTTAGTCCTCCTCTGAAATAATGATTCGAAAACTACTTAATATTTTTCCAATATTTCTTTAAACTTTAAAGTATATATCTATTTCAACAAAAAAACCTTAATCAAAGTAGAGAGGTTTTTGGTCACAATAAAACTAATGGTAAAAACGAAAAACAAATTCTAATGTATTCTATTTGATTTATTGTAATCGAATCTGATTATTTAAGCGCTATATATACTATTGATAATCATTTGTAAATTTCTAACATGGGCTAACGAAAAAAAAAAACATGTATCTATGTTCGTTATAAATCTTTAATTTTAATAGTTTTACAAACAAATAATAAAAATATGAATAAAACTGCAAATATAAACACAAATGAAAATACAAACAAAACTGAAAATTTAAGGGAAACTCAAGACATTCAATACTTTTTATATTCATTTTGAATGAATACCTTTATTTTGAGCCAATTTTTATTTTTTAATAGATCAGATCGTCACATTTTGATTTTTTGGGGAGTCTCTTTTGCTTAAAGTGGGTTTTAAAATACATTTTGGCTAGTTTCTTTTAAGTTTCTGTTCACGGAACTAAAACCCTTTTTTGTTTTTTGTCTTCATATCCATTATTCCCTGTTTTTCATTATTACAACTTTCTGGACCTTTTGATTCAATAACATCATTGGTTTCATTTTCTTGTTCCTTAAATACTTCATTAATATGTCCATTATCATCTTTTATACTGTCTTCTTCCAAATTTATCTCTATTTGTTCTAAACCTTTTACCTGCTCTACCTTTCTCCATTAACAGAGCAACTTAGAGATCTTTACAGTTTGATAAATGTCATCGGGGAGTCGATATAAGGATCGATGACTTCTAATGTGGGTCCCATAAATGAAGCCAGTTGCTCCATGTCATTTTCCGATATTGTAGTTCGATGTAACTACAACTATTTAAACAACAATAGTTCCTCCTACTACCTCTTTCTGTTCGTGAGATGTGACTGAATTCAAACCTGCGAAGACGACTGTTTTTTGTCAAACATGTCGTCTTATTTTTTACTTTTTAAACTTTGTAACATGTTCGTTAATTTTTAAGTTATTTTAAAGTTTTAAGTTTTAATGCCTTCGGTAATTCAGATCATATTATGTTATTTAACGTTGTGTTTTATATGCTATGAATCTTACTTTCTGGTAAGTTTTTATAACTTTTATATTACATCAGCCTAATTTTATAACACAGTAATTTTCATTGTAGACCTTGATAAAGGTGGCAAATAACCACCGAAAGCTCGGATTTCAGAATAAATAGTACGCCTTAGCAAAGCTCTATTTTTTATTGACCACACCCAAAAAGAAAAAAGTATTTACATATTTTTTCCAAACTAGTCAAAAAAAATTTTGGACTACCTTATATATATATATATATATATATATATATATATATATATATATATATATATATATATATATAAATATAAAAAATTTTGGACTACCTTATATATATATATATATATATATATATATATTAATTTCTTGTAAATGAATCGTTAATTGACCTATTGAACGTTATTGACCTATTTTTTTTTAATACATTACTATTTTTATCAATAGTTGTGACATTAAATGTACGGTTATTTATTGTATAATCTTTTCCAGCTCGGTGCTAAAAAATCTGGGCTGGGCGCCACTAAGGTTAAAACAAACTTTGCCGAAATCGAAAAGGAAGCGGAGCTTGCCGAAGAACTACGCGCCAAAGCAGCTGAAGATGCACTTAAAATGGCTGCTTTGACAGCGAAAGAACAGGAGGAACGGGACGCAGCCGTAAGATTGGCCTACAAAGACCTCAGCTTACAACAACAGAAGAAAGAGGAACAGCTAAGGAAAGAAGATCCGAAAAAAGCTGCTCAGCTGGAAAGGCTGGGAATGGGACTTGGTGCAAGAACGTAAGTAAATGAATGTTGGTATATTATATTAAATATATGAATGAAGAGAACTAACAGATTAAGTAGACAGCATGGCATTTAAAGATGTTGTTCATTACTGCTTTAAGTTTAGTTTGAAACAACGTTGTATCTTTTATACAACTTACAGCAAGCCGGGGATAAGCTTGAGATTAATTGAAGAACCGATACGCAAAACAGTAAACAGTATGTGTCACTTACGTTAGTAACATAAACTGTGATATGTGTATCATTCTCCGTAGATAGTGGTATATAATTTTTTATTACATTTTAGGGGAGTCAGCCATTCAGCTATCAGTGACATGCAAACAATAGAGCAAGAGAATATCAAAGGTCCAAATAGTACTGTGACATCTTTGGGACAATTGAGATTATTAATAGATAATGGCTTGATTATGGACGATGATTTCCATGGAAATACACTAAGTATGATTCGAAACTCAAACAGTTACGGTAATAGCAAACTTAATTCGTTCATGACAGACTTGGCCGACACCAAATCCGAAAGTAGTAAATCGAGTAAAGATAGCTGGGTAATAATAGATGATCCACCAGAGAAACCCAAATCGAGTTCTTACGGTAAGTGTATATCGTTATATCGTACCTTCATTTGCTATTACGTTATTAATCAAAAGACTGATATTTTTTTGTACACACTTATGACAAGTCGAAAGAAAATGCAAAAAAGTATTTTTGAAGTGTGTATATATTAGGCAATTCCTAGCTGAGCGCTTTCGGCTTTACAAAGCCATCATCATAGCTATGCTACAATAAAATGTTCTTATAAGTACTAATTGGTAAAGATTATAATTTTTAACTTACGTCAATTTTTATCATATATTTCATGAAAGGGTTAAAAACTTGTCAAATTGCAATTTTACAAAACCAGAACTTGATTTTTTGAGTAAGGGTCTCAAATTTTGTATTAAAACTAAACCTGATTTAAATAATATTGAGTTACTCTGTGTAGAGATTGATAGCATCATAGATAGTTTAAACATCACAAACACTGTAAAAACCAACTTAAAAATGTCTTGTCTTTTTGCACTAAATCAGTCTTATCAAAAATACTATTCTAACAATAAGGTTATGTCAACTTTTCATACACAATTTAAACTGGTTAAATCTATTTCTAATAAAATTAAAACTCATAAACTTATAATAACAAAAGCTGACAAAGGAAACTGTCTTCTAATCATGTACAATAGTGATTATGTTAACAAAGTAGAATCTTTTCTATCCAACAACTCATTTATTCCACTTAACAAGAACCCAATGAATAAACTTATAAATGATCTAAAATCAAACATTTCTAATGCAACTAACTTTTTTCAAGAACTTGGAACTAACCCCAAAACTTTCATTTCTAGCAATCCTTTAATACCAAGACTTTATGGTCTCCCTAAAATTCATAAAGCTAATGTTCCAATAAGACCTGTAGTTAGTTTTGTCAATACCCCACTAGCTTCACTAGCAAAATTTATCAACACTCTTCTACTAGATCTACTTAATTACACTCCCAAATATACTATTGCCAACACTTTAGATTTAATCTCCAAAATTTCTTCACATACTCTTCCGAATAACTTCACTATGGTCTCTTTCGATGTAACAAATCTGTTCACCAATGTTCCCAGATTAGACACCATTCCAATCATCAATAACCTTCTACAAAGAAAAAACATTGACCAAAACAAATGTTCACAAATTACTTCTCTACTCCAATTTTGCCTTTCCCAAGATTTCTTTATCTTTAACGATAAAATTTATAGACAACCAGAGGGTTTAGCAATGGGAAATCCTTTATCTCCTCTACTTGCAGATCTTTTTCTAGACTCTCTCGAAACTAACTTTGTTCATTCTCAACCACAAATAATCCTATGGTACAGATATGTGGATGACATTTTAGCCTTTATAGAAGGCCCACCTTCAGAACCTCACAATATTTTGTCAATAATTAATAATCTACATCCTGCAATTAATTTTACCTTAGAAGTAGAAAGCAACAACATTATCAACTTTTTAGACCTAACTATCAAAAAGAATGCTTCCTCCTCTTCTTCTTTGCCTACACTAGAATTTTCAATATTCAGAAAACCTACTCAAACTGACCATATGATACCAACATCCTCAAATCACCCTTTTCAACACAAGATGGCAGCTATTCAATGTTATGTCCACAGACTTCTTAATATCCCTATGTCTCAAGAAAATTACAATAAAGAAATCTCCATCATTAAACAGATAGCAAACAACAATGGTTTTCCTTCTACTACTGTTGATAAAGTCATTAGAAAATCTATACTCAAAAAGAGACTAAACCAAGCTTTTAATGTTGATAAAAAATCCAACACTACTTCCATATATAGATCCTTAACTTACTTAGGACCAATTTCAGAAAAAATTTCAAGAGTACTTGTTAATAAAATCAGTGACTTAAACATCTCCTTTAAAACCAAATATAACATCAAGTCCATCTTCAGCAAGACCAAAGACAAAGTTGACAAACTAAACAGAAGTGGTATTTACAAGCTGTCCTGTGGTGACTGTAATATGACTTATGTAGGTAGAACAATGAGAACTCTGAATCAAAGAATCAAAGAACACCTCAATAACCCAGAAAAATCAAACTTTGGATATCACATTAAATTTAATAATCATTCCTTTTCTCCTTCTGAAAACAGTAAAATTTTACACAACATTCCCAATAAAAACTTTAGACTCATGAATCTCTTGGAAGATCTTGAGATATCCAAAGAAATGAAACTAAACCCTGATTGTTGCTTAAACACACAAATCAACCTCAATTGCAATTATAAACCTCTTTTTAAATTATTATGGGAGACTTTAGAGGAAGAAGGGTGACCTCATGCAATCTTATTATATATTTTTCATACTTTTATATTTTTAAACAAATTTTAAACTTTATTAGAAATTTACAACATTTTGTAATTCATTTGACAGTTGTTCTTAATTGAAACATGAAAATACATTCTTAAAAAATTTATGCAAATTTCTTACAAATTTCCATCAAGAGATACAATTCTCAATACACTTAAGTATCAGATAACGTAACATTAATACCATGTTTCTTCTTTATATTGTTGTTGAACAATTTGAGCCCTTGTTTCTTAAGGATAGCTGTCAGATTGAACATACATTGACCTTGAGCAATGACTTGAGTGAATTTACAAACTAATGTCATTCTGTATGATGTGATGAACACATAAAATTTAATTTAAAAACTTAATTTTTAGAAAGTCTTTGATGACTATTAGTAATTCCAAACTATTAAATAATTTTGTAAGAATTTAAAAAAACAATCTCTATTTCCTATATATGACATTTGTCAACTGTCACTTTTGAAAAATCGTTTAAAAGGACGACATTTGATTTCATTAGTTCTATTCTGTCTACATCCTCACATCAATCAATGGTCGGGTTCTTACACCCGTACCATGACAAAAATTTTTTCAATTTTTTAACGTGTTTGTGAAGTCCAGTGTCGGCTTTTTATATGTTTTTTATATGTTTTAACAAATTTCAACAACTAAAAAAATCATTATTTTGAAATATAAGGAAATGAGATCTCTCCTTTGTAGTGGTATTTAAAAAATTGACGTAAGTTAAAAATTATAATCTTTACCAATTAGTACTTATAAGAACATTTTATTGTAGCATAGCTCTGATGATGGCTTTGTAAAGCCGAAAGCGCTCAGCTAGGAATTGCCTAAAATATACACACTTCAAAAATACTTTTTTGCATTTTCTTTCGACCTATTACGTTATTACCAGAAATCGTGTTTATAATAATGGATGTATACTAATAATCCAGTTGTATTGAGTTTTTATATAGGTTTTCATTGTTATGAACTAGGGATACTACTAAATATTTATATATGCCGAAGTTTACTTCAGATCTTGATTATATAGTCGACGCTTTGTAAGGTTTACTTTTATTCACACAAATAAGAGTCTTACGCTTTCATCTTACTATTAGTACAAAGTCATATAGGGTCTTTAACTAAGCTTCCTTTTTTTAAATTAAGTAAAACAAAGTATGTGTGAGATATCAGCGTGTGTGCACAATTTTTTATTCGTCTAAAAGGCCTCTCGATGCCATTATGTATTGAGCATAACATCGTTCAAATGTCCGGCGATCATCATCATCATCATCATTAGCCATTTTGCGTCCACTGCTGAACATAGGCATCCCGTAAATAATTCCATTGCATCCGATCTTGAGCAACTTGAACCCAGTTAGACTGGATGCGCTTTAAATCGTCCGACCACCTTGTTGGAGGACGTCCTCGACTACGATAAGCATCGTGTCTAGGCCTCCACTCTAAAATTTTCTTTGTCCATCTTCCATCTCTGACCCTAGCAACATGTCCTGCCCAGTTCCATTTCAGGGCTGTAATTCTTTCAACTGCGTCCGTCACACCAGTTTTTCTCCTTACTATCTGACTCGAAACTCTGTCCCTGAGTGATACGCCCAACATTGACCTCTCCATCGCTCTCTGTGCCACTTGTATCTTATTAATTACTTTTCTGGTAAGTGTCAATGTTTCTGCTCCATATGTCAGAACTGGAAGTACACACTGATCAAAAACTTTTCTCTTCAAGCACATGGGAATAGCTGATTTAAAGACTTCCCTCAGTTTTCCGTAAGCTGCCCATGCCAGTCCTATTCTCCTTTTTAACTCTGTTGTTTGATTGTCTCTTCCCAATTTAATCTCGTGGCCCAGATACTTATAGGAATACACTTGTTCAATTTGCGTGCCATTAGTGGAAATGTTTTTTGCCAGTACCAGGTTGGTCATGTATTGTGTTTTGGAAAAATTAATTTTAAGGCCAACTCGTGCACAAGAGGTCTGAAGGTCTTGAAGAAGTTGGCATGCATGATCTACCTGATCTGCAATAAGGACTATGTCGTCTGCAAACTTCAAGTTGTTCAAAAATTCCCCATTTATATTTAATCCAATATTTTCCCAATTATTTTTTCTCATAGCACTCTGTAATAGGGCGGTGAATAGTTTAGGAGAGATAGTGTCTCCTTGCCTAATACCTTTCTCCAAGGGAAATGTGTCTGTGTCACCATAGTACATTTTTACAGCAGCTGTTGCGCTATCATATATATTTCGAAGAAGAGTTGTGTACCTATGGTCAATACTGCACTCTGTAAGAGCTCTTAACATGGAGCTATGCTGGACTGAGTCAAATGCTTTCTCAAAGTCTACAAATATTAATATCAATGGCTTGTTGTATTCTATAACTTTCTCTATCAAGGATTTTATTACTTGTAGGTGGTCATTTGTTCCAAAGCTACTCCTAAATCCGGCCTGCTCTAGAGGTTGATGAAAATCTAGCTTAGGTCCCAGTCTGTTAGTAATTATTCTCATAAAGAGTTTATATAAATGAGATAATAAGTTGATAGGTCTGTAGTTGCCAATTTCTGTTACATCTCCTTTTTTATGCAATATTATCATAATGGCATTATTCCATTTTTCTGGCGTATTTCCTTCAAAGAGGCAGGCATTATAAAGGGTTTTTAAAGCCTTTATGAAGCATTCGCCTCC